TTTTATTCTTTTAAAGTTAAAATAATGCTTTATGCTTAACAAAGTTACTTAAAAATTAAAATTAGTTCAAAAAATAAAAAAATATTTTTAAAAAGTTATAGGTATTTGGGTTGGCTCGAATAAGCCTAAAGATCGAAGCTGTTAAGGTTATTCTTAGTTATATGGGCTTCTTATATAAGATAAGTATTTTAAGCCCGATTTGAATAAGCCTAACTTATCTGAATTACCAGATTTATATGTGAGGAAGCTCATGAACCATCCATGAGCTTCAGGAGTAGTTAATTTATAGTTTAAGATTAATAAATGTAATTAATTAACCCTTAATTGAGATTAAGGTCTAAGACCTTAATTAATGATATTAACAATAACCAGTCTCATTTTTAACTTTCTTTAGCTTATTTAACCTTTATTATGTTTAACTAACCCTGGTAATCCATCATATTATCTTAAAATTGATTAATTTGTGCTGGAAATTTGAACAACATTGCCATAACCCTAAAAACTAGAAGAAAATGCATAGAGAAGAAAGAAGAGATTAGGAAGCTTACTCAAGGGTCAGATGGCTTGAAATCACCTCTAAGCACCCCTAAGACACAAATTCTAGTAGAGTACTTCATCCTTTCCGACCTCTCTTTGTTATCCAAAGCCATGAGTTTAGATTTTAAAATTTCCCACGTCCGCCATGGTGGATGACCTAGTCTGAGCCCTTATTAAAGCCCAATAACATTTAGGGTCTGAATCTAGCTCCCTTGTAGGGTCTAATGGACCCAAAAGTTATCCAATTACCCTAATTAATCTAATTAGAATATAGATTAATTAACTTAATCCTTTAAAAATTTTGATTAATCCTATTTTAAATTTCAGGATGTTATAGAGCTATTCTTTGTAGCATTATGCAATTATGATTAAATAACAAAACAATATTAAACACATGAGATGGTTTGATTTTGGTTGAAATGAATGTTTATTTTGCTGAACAACAAAAAAAGAAGCATGTTTTTTTTTGCCCACAAAAAAAACATGTTTACTTATGTGAATGTGGATTGCATTTGAATCTATATATTTATATCAAGAGTTAAAAATTATTTTGTTCTTTAATTTTTTTAAAAATACTAGGTATCTTATATTGAAGGGTGGTATAGTATCCCCCTAAACAATTTTTTAAAAGCAAACTTGCCCTTCCATCATAGACAAGTCTTTTTTTTATTATTTACTGATGAAGAATAGTTGTGGGGTCCACACCTTGATGACAACAAAGTATTTTGATCAATTTTACCACCATTTTGCCACTAAAATTATACTCGATTCCTGTCACTATTACTTTCAACCCTTTTGGCCCATATTAAATGCTTTTCGGTCACTATATATGAGTTCTACAACTATTCCACATCAGCAGACAATATAAGAGATGGTAAGTTTTTTATGAAAGGGCAATTTTACTTTTGAAAAAAATCATTTAGAAAAGATATTATTTCACCTTTTAATACAAGCATCCAATCTTCTAAAAAAATTAAGAAAAAAATGATCTTTTAACCTTTTATCAAATTTGGTGAGAATTATATTCGTTTTAATTAATAAACAAGTTGGCTTAGCGTGTGCGCGGTCAACTTGATATGTGGAATTGAAGAATTTTCAAACCACCGTAAGAAAAAGAATTATTTTCAGACCACTAAATTGGAGAGAGAGATTCTGAGAGGTTATATTGGCTAGTGATGTCAGATGATGGTTGGTCAGAAATGGATAAAAATCCATCCTCGCTTTTGAATTAAAAATTCGACGCTTAAATTTAATATTTTATAAAATTATTACAACAAAACAAAAATAAATATATATAAATGATTAAAATTCAACTTGAGCAGTTCACAATTGTAAACTGTTATTAAAATATATAAATAAATTTGATTAAATCTTAACAGTTAATGATTTTTCAATCTAAAGATAAGCGTGAAATGTAAAGAAGAAAATGAAAAAAAATGACGAGAAATTTCAGATTCGGTAGGCCGTCCCGATGTTATCTCCTTCAGCTCCAAAAGAAAAAATAAAAATGTTAAATAAAAAAAGACTTTTCAATTTAATCAATGAAGTAATTTGACGGAAACCGTTCAGACTTTATCATTATCCAAACTCACAAAGGAAGAAATCACAATGGTTAGACCACTATCGTTTCAAATACGGTGACAAAAATAAATGAGAATGTGATGAAATGAAATAAGGGATGTCTTTCTTCTGATTAAAAAAATAACAAAAAGGCAATGACAATTGATTAATAATAATGAAGATAAAATAAACACTCTATATTCCAAATAAATATAATCGCTCTTTTTTTTTTTTATTAATCTTTAGCGGAGTTACATTGGACACTTTCAATAAAGGTTTATAAGAATGAGGATTAAGGTGCGTTATTCTTAGTGAAAAGAATTTGGACTCGTGAATACAATGACCAATTTTTACGCTTGCATATGTGCAAAATATGCCTTTTAAAGAACCATCCCTTATTAAGAGTTTAACCTTACTTGATTTGAATTAATCAAAGTTTAAAGTTATTATGAGAAAATAGGTTAGTATGTCATAATAATAATAATAATAATAATAATAATAATAATAATAATAATAAAAGAAAAAAAATACAAGTCCACGGTATAATATTAAAATCAAGTCATTCAACTACTTAAATCAATATCTTTATTATTTTAATAAAATATTATGTTTATGATTGTCCTAACCATAATTTAATCATAATTTTAATTATTAACTCTTAAATTAGTGTCTCAAGTGGTTGAATGGTGATCTATTTTTGAGAACATGATTAAGGAGTAATGATTATTTTGATTGGATCATTGGAGTTGATTGGACTAGATATGGATAGTCTCTTATAAGAACAAGGTGGCTTTGTTTGGTAAATCGTAGGCTTGACTTTGAGGGCCCAAGTTTGAAATTATTAATTGATAAAATTACTTTCCAAATTTTAAATTGCAACATTTCAGTTGTCAACAACATCTTTGAATTTTAGGTGCTCATCCATCATGTGATCTTCGCAAGTAAACGTAGTGGATATAAGCATATCTGTTTGGGGCCCTCCTTGTGGGAATTGGAAGTTAATTCTTACAAGCAAAGTCTTCAGGTTTGATTTATTTTTGACTTTGGTAACCACATATCATAAAAATTTTATATTTATATTTAAGATTAATTAAAGATCAATACTGTGAATTACATAGAATCTAATGAATCACTTAACTTTATTCATATTTATGAACAGGAATTTTTATATTTTATAGTGATATTCATGAGGGATATCAATACTGATATAATACATCAAGCTCAACTCGACTTCCGATATTTCTAGCTTGTACGAGGATGTATAATCGAGTTTTCTCAAGTGTCAACAAAGGATTAAGATTTTGGCTCTAAAAAAAAAACAAAAGAAACAAGAAGGGACGATGGACTAAGATCCTTAATTGATATTTTAAAATTATCAAATCCTAAAAAGTCAATTTTCCTATAAACTAATCTTAATGTGATATTTTTAAAAAAAGAAAACTACAAGATTGATTATTATTTTGATATAATGCTAGTAGCATATTCCTTCTGTTGAAAAATATAAAGTATTTTTGAGAGATTTAATATTAAAAAATATAAAATATTTTTAATATTTTAAGATATAATCAGTACATTTTTTTCAAAAATACCCCTATTGAACAATTACTTTATATTTATTTTAAAGTAAAATACTTTATTATATATGGATAAATATAAAAAAATAAAATTAATTTAAAAATAAATAATTATTTTATTAAAAATAAAATTAATTTAAAAATATTTTATATTTTTAAATGAAAGGAATTGACGCTTTGAGAATCTTTCCCATCAACCTTGGGCAATAACGGGCACACTGAGGAGGCTAGAAAAAAATATGAGCAGGCCCAAGTGCCAACTTCACTTTTCACTATTACAGCTTCAAGGCTTTTAATGGTTCTGCTTTGAGACACTAAACAAAAGACGCGAACATCAATAAATATCATATTAATAAGAAAGAATGAAAGCTAAGTTAAAAAAACTAATTAATTTAAATTAAATTTTAAAATATTAAATTTTAAAAATTTGCAAGTTCTATTTTCAATATTAAAATTACGTTATGATAAATTTATAATTTATTTTTTAAATTTTAATATGATTGAGAAATAAATAAATTTATTTTTTTTATTAAAATTTAAAACACGAATTTGATAATTTAAACTTTATTTGAATTAATTGACTTCTTTAAAACTTATTTGTGATTATCCCTATCAATAATCAATAGTAACACGACTCAACATTAATAGTATGACTCTCACATATAATGCATGAAACAATTTTCACCCTTCATACTTAAAAATACGTCTGATTGTAAACTTTTTTTTTTTTTCGGTTGCCAATTCTGATCGTAACACAATTGGTGACAAGTTTCTCAAAGGACTCCTGTCTCTGCTCCAGTTCCACCAATTTTAACAGCAAGTTGCCCGAAGGCAACATTCAAGAAAATTGAGCTTAGAGCTTTTATATTGTCAATGGGCCCCAAAAGCAGTAACCAAACCCCCCCCCCCCCCGGGGGTTGTCAAAATGAAAAATTTAGCCGTAGTCCCCTCCCCCCTCGAAAATACTGTAGGTGATTTTCAATTCCGGCACCCGTAAATGTGTTCCTAGATTCCTTACTGCCCATAAGGTTGGTTGATTCATCTCCATAAACAATATGGGAAGATCAGGCGGAGCAAAATCAGCATCAGAATTAAAAAATGCAAATTTACAACGTAAGACTTGCGGGTTCTAAAGAACCAAAGTAACCAAATTTTACTCTTTCCGTTCAAAAATATAAGTTATTTTTTAAGAAGTTAAATGTTTTAAAATTTAAAATATTTTTAATTTTTTAAAATATAATCATTATCTTTTTTTAAAAGTATTCCTATTAATAATAACTTTATATTTATTGTAGGATATTTAATAAAAGTAAATTTAAAAAAATAAAGTTAGTTTAAAAGTAGATAACTACTTTATTAAAAGATGATATTCAATTAAAAATAACTTACATTTTTTAACAGAAAAAATATAAGAAAATGTTTCAGATGCAAGAGGAAGAATCTCGAATGTTAGATGGATCACAGTCCGCTGATAGATTGACAAACAATTTGGGACCGAAAAGCTAGAACTCAGCAAAACATTCTGACATCAGCATGCTATAGTTTTAAACAGGTTTTTCCCCTTTTGGTCAATGTTTTAACTTCTAAGCAGGGTTTTATCTCTTTTTCTTCCCACCTTTGCCACCTTTGTTGCTCGAGGTTCCCGCTGATGTTGATGTAGGCTCCTGTTTCTTTGCTCTTCCATGGTGTCTGGGCACCATTTCTGCAATGCGAAGCATTAGACTTTTTCCTGTAACACAAAGCAAAAAATGATTGACGGACTTAGAATCATCCAATTGAAGCTAAATAACGGAACAAAGAAAAATTGGGGAAAATTATTTTTCTCACCCTCACATGATTATTTTAAAGATAATTGGAATTAAGAATTGCTTCTATATTGGACCTTAACACTTGCATTTTCATAATTCAATTTTAATACAAGATGTAGTTTTCATGATTTGTCAGAACTCCAAGCAAAACAAACCTATTTAGCCCTACAGATTACGTAAATGTTAGCTCTACAAGATGTAGCTTTCGTGATTTGTCAGAACTACAAGCAAAACAAACCTATTTAGCATGACAATGTCATGAGAAACATGGACCCAGTAAGCATTCCTTGATAATCAATATTTTTCATCAATGGCTGTCATACATTAAAAAGCAACTTACTGGATCAAATAATAGAGAGACCCTAACACTAGTAACTACATCAAAAGTGTCCAAGTCCAGATTACTTAAATTTTAACAAATCTACCTTTCGTGATGAACTAAACCAGAACCAGATTTGGCAATTAAGATTAGTCCACCATTCTCAGACCACAGAGAGCATGAATATATTCTACAATTTTGCTAATTCAGACTTTTCTTCAAATCGTAAAAGACAATTTCTAGTTTTATTTGATATTTTCTTGCATGGTTTTAAGCTTTTCTTCTCTGACGTAAAGGTGAAAGACTAGCACCTGATCTTGCGCCGTCTTTAATTCAAGGGCAGGAAGATTGACATTACTAGAACTTCTGATGCAGAATTTTAAAGGCCCATTCGTTTAAGCTTAAAAACTACCTACACAGCTAGTTCAGCCCACAACGTGGCTTTTACAGAAAACATAAAAATAAATTGCACTTCAGAATTGGCAAATCAGCAAATCCTCAGAACTAAAACAAATAAGCATCAGTAATCATCTCTGGAGATACAAATAAATTAACTTGTTTGCTGGGTTGATGTAGCAAAACATCCAATCAAGACAGTAGCTGCTCAAGCAAACTATCAAATTGTACAAGCAATGTTCATGAAAATTGAAGTTTAAATTTCTCCCTAACTAATCACACGAGGTGCTCTCTGTCCAAAACTCAACCACATTTGGATTTTTCTCTTCCTTTCTCTCTGCTCTACATTTTTTTCCGGCTTCGATTTGAAGAGTCTTATTTGCAGAGAACTTTTCTGATTTGATTCATCAAGCCCAATGCTCCAAGTTACAAACCTAGATCTATTTTTTTTTTTTTTTTTGGGGGGGGCGGGGGGAACTTCTACCCTAGAAATTGAAAAACTCAAGAGCAGGAAAAATAGTCAAAGTTCTATCATGCATACCTAGAAGCCAAGTATCCAAGTTACATAGTAAAAATGTAGTGAGGTTGAGTCAACTTTCTAATTGTCTGAGGGCAGCCTAAGAATCGCTCTCAACAATAAAGTCAAATTCCATAGCAGAAACTTTTAACAAACACATTCTGATTGCAGCAATTATTCTTCCTTCCTTTCTTTCTTTTCTTTTCTTTTCTTTTCTATTCTTTTCCTTTCTTCTCAAGTCCTACCAGAAGGCAATGGACATCGGCACTTTGTTTGAATAAGCTTTCTGTTTTTCTTTTTCCTGTATGGTTGGGAAAAAAAAGTACCCATTTCTTTTCGCCTGTGTTTCTAAACAACCTACAGATTTCAGCTTCTAAGAAAATACTACATAAATCAATAACTTTCTAAAACCTTCAATTTTTAGTTCTCTAACATGAAAAAGTATATCTCTACAACCAAGACTAATCCTCATTATATGAGTGTTGGCAAAGTTGTCATGAAGCATTGCTAATACTTTGCCATATTGATGCCAGCTAAGAGCTCCAAATAGGGCATCCTCTGCCAGCATTTGAAAATGTTCTCATCTGCATAGAACATTCTTTTGCACAACTGCTTAAGACACTTTATGCTGATGGCTGTAGCCAAAAAGATATCAGATGAAAGCGATCAAATCACAGTGATGATTTAGATTCACTCAGAGATTATATAAGAATTCACATATTATAACAACAGCACTAAGAACTGCATACACAGGCTATCTTACTGGATGTAATGGAAGGATCAAATGGAGTCCCATCCTCCTTTTTAAGCAATACACGCACTCTCCCTCGCTGCATAAAATCACGTGGATATGCCTTGTCTATCTGCAGTTGTCAGGAAATTAAGTAAACTCACTACATACAGTCTAGTCCACAGGCATCATTTGAAGCCAGCATACAGAGACACAAAAGAATTGGGAATAAAAAGCATAGAATAAATTCAAACTTAACACGAACGCGTCAAATTAGATAGCAACAAACCTCAATTGCAAAGGGAAGTTTAAGATAGCTGCAGCAATCGCCAATTTCAGCACAAGTAGGATTTTCACATGCCTTGCTTGAGCTAATTCTCCTTCCTTCAGCCACTGTCTTTTTTGAATTCATGTAAACAGGGTACAAAACAATCCATTTCTTTATATTGGGCAATTCCCCTTCCATACTCCTGAATGAAATTTTACAAGACAATTATTTAAATGGGTAAGACAAACATAAATACGCCAGATGAGAGCAGAAAATCTTGCAAGGAACAACAATAAACTATAACAAGTCTTAAGAACAAAAGCCCTCGGCTGGCGGGGCTTCCTAAGATACAGAATCGATGCAAGAGTCTGCATCCATACGATGCGCAAGAATATTGGCAAGTCTGAATGGGAATGCCGTTCCAGATTATGTTAATCTCATTCAAAAACAACTGAACAGTCTCGATCTCCTTAATACTCAAACTTGCTTATTGTGCCGGTATAACGGGCATAATAAGGATTCACATCCACATAACCCAGCAAATCAAATAAAGCAGGAAAACAGTTCAGCCTAACGACCAATCAAGCAAACGATGCCTTGCACAGTAGAGAAGGAGAAGCATAAACCACCGGATAAGGAAGAGAACGGACCTTGGATGCCCTAGCCGATTGTTTAAAGTAGTTAAATGTCAAAAATTTTAGCTGGTTGTTTTGACCTGCAAGATTTGATGCCCTAGCTGATCGATCGCAGAAAGAAATTTCGAGTGACGGCCTGACAGGATGAACCTCAGGCCATCGAACCAAGAAAAGTAAGGGAACTGATTTAAACGACACCGTACTTTCGTTATTCTCATTCATATTCCTTTGGGAGAATGACAAATACGAAACCTGTAAGCATGGTAACGATAATAACAAATTTTAAATTATTACAATCTCAACAACTTACCATAACTTTTGTTTATAATAAATTATTTTTTTATTAATTAACTTGCGATTCAGAAAAAAATTTTAATAAATTTTAAACAAGCATTACAAAAAATTTTAATTATTTTTTATTGATTTTTCAAAAGATAGCAAGAAATCATAAGGATTGACTTGCAATTCTTAATTAATACTACAAATAATTTTAAGTATATTTAATAAATTTTTTAAGTGACTTATCTATATATTAACATAAAAAGCATAAGTGACTTGTTTGTGATTCACTACTATTGTAAATTTTTAACTAACATTATAAATAATTTTAAATGTATTTACTTAATTTTTTAAATGATTTATCTATATTAACAATAAAAAATAAGATTCACAATTGACATTCTTAAATTTTCAACTAACATTACAAAATATATTTTATACATTTTTCAATTGACTATACGTATTTTTAATTGCAAATAAGAATTATAATTTGTTTTTTAAATTTCAGTAATTCAAGGTATGTATTTGGCATTAATATTCTTATGAGTTTCTAATTGTCATTTTCCCTATTTTTTGGGGCCAACTTTCATTATTCATATTTTATAAAAAATTATTGATATTTTGTTATCGGAGAATGCCATGCTCATGTGGGCCCCCTCAATCAATATTATAACAAAAAAGGCGTAAAAGAATTGAATTTGTTTCGCAAGTTCAAAAGATTGAAGTGCATATATTTTTTGAGACCAAGTGATAAAAATATCTCAAATTTAAAGAGGGAAAATGAGCATATGGCAAAACACACCATCACGCATAAGCAATTGAAGTTCACTTTCTTCTCATCTCGTCAACTTTGTCAGAATCAAACAAAGGAGAAGAGAGAAAAAAGAAAATGAAGGCAATCAAGAGGGAGGAGTAGAATGGAAGAGGGGAAAATGCAGAAGAAGAGGATGACAATGAAAATGCAAAAGAAGAAAAGAAATAGAACAAAATAGATGACAAGAAAATTGCATAAGAAGAAGAGGAAGAGAACAAATCAGAAGAGGAAGAAAATGATTTCATGTACATTAATATTCAATTTTATTGATGAGTAAAAGTTCAGCTTTTAATAGGATGACTCATGATATTAACATGTAAGAGTTGGACATACTTGTCTTGATGAGTTCTATAAAATAGTACTGCAAATGCAATTATTTTTCCATATTTTAGAATAAGGTATTCAGATACTAACAAGTAAAAATTTATACTTGTAAATTTATTAGAGAATTTTTTACTAATATATTCTACATATTCAATATTACTAACTTGTTAAAATATACAATATATTCGTTAAAATCTCAAATTAACTTGTTAAAAAATGAAGGTTATTTTGATTATTTTTTTATCAAAATATATTTTCAATTCAATCATGTGTATTTTCATATTTTATTGATATTTTTTAAAATTAAACCTCAAGAGACCAGAGAGTGCTTTATTGAAATTCTTCATTTTTTAAAGAGAGAATAGCATTTAAGGTCCATAGAATGAGGAAAAAAAATCACAGCTAAGGTTGAATTGCTTCTACAATCTCAAAAACCGTATAAACAAATATATATTTTCGTTGGGAAGACGCATTAGACATCAATACTTCAAAGTGTGAAGCATTAAAAGTGTCATCAATACATCAAAGAAAGAGTGATTACCAAACGCTTTAAACACAACTAGATCTGTTTGTCATGCAATGCATTGGAGATGTTTCAATATTTAAAGGATAAAAAATACTTTTTATATTTTTTTTAAATCATTTCTAACTGCAAATGTTATTTAGATATAAATCTTTTGGTACTTGGGCTGATGATGTGTTATTTATCTTGTCTTCCCATTTATGCTTGATTTCATGATGTTGTACTAATGGATTAATATTTTTTTTTTTTGGGTAATGGAGGTTGCAAACAGATGAAATGAAATTTCTTTATATTAGGAATGTGTTATATTACATGATAAAATAATGATATCTTGACTAATATAGGAGTAGTATCAATAAAAAAAAAAAGTGAAGTGTAGTGTTCAATTTAATATACTTTTTGCTTCTCCTGCAGCGCATGGGGTAATAAAAGTTAGTTCATTAAAAATCAGGTGAGATAGTTAAACTACTAAAATTGCTTTGAAAATATTTCACTTTCTAATTTTACCTATAAATTTAAAAAAATATTTAACATGTGAGAAGAGTTTTCTTAGAAATTAGAATGTTGCACTTCTTTAAAAAATTTGTTGGAAGATATTCTTAAAATTGTGCATCAAAGGTTATGAAAAACAAGGAAAAATGACTTGAATAAAAAACCAAGAAAACCTTTTAAAATATGACTAATAAAAATGACCGGATAGAGTATTCAATATATTCATATTCTATTATCTTATGTAAATTTAAACTAAATAACAACTTATTCTATTTTACAATTTATTATATAAATTCATATTAAAAATATAAATAATAATTTATTTTATTTTAGAAAGTGTTGCCTTGTGAAAAATAAAATTTAGAGAAAATTTTTTATTTTTTATTTTGTTATGTGTTATTTTTATATATATTAAAAAAATATAATAATTTATCATAATATAAGAAAAAATAATCTACAAGTCCTCATAATTTCTTTCAATCTTAAATTAGGCCTTTGTAGTTTATTTTATTTGAATGAAGCTCTTATAGTTTAATACATGTTTGCTTATCAAGGTTTAAATTATTAATAAATATTTAATTTTCTCGAAACAAAAACACTTTTGATGTCTATAGATATTTGATGCAATACAATGATTATATTTTTATTAATTTTTTTTATAAAAAATCTACATGTGAAAAATTATTTAGAAGACCTAATTTGATTATATAAATTTTGAATTATAAAAATTATGTAATTAATTTTAAAATTAAATAATCATTTAACAGAAATATAAAAGTTCTTAGTTTTATTTTTTAAAAGGAACAATTCAAGGATTTTAATCTTTAGACATAATAAATCTATTGGATTAAACTATAAGAACTCAATTGAAGCAAAATAAATTATAGAAACTCAATTTAAAATTGAAGAAAATTATAAGAACTTACAAATCATTTTTTCAGAAATATATAAATAAATTATATTTGGGTTATTTGAACAGGCCGGAACATAAAAAATGTGTTATTTAGTTAAGCCTAATCCTAAATTTGTCAAGTTTATTTCAATTAGCCCGAAATACTTGTTCTCAAAAATAACAACATTAGATTGTTTTATTTTGAGTAAATAAAAAAAATCTCACAAGATAAGATATGTACTTTTTAATATGTTGTCTAGATTAAGTTTATAATTTTATTGCAGACGTCCTACCTATCATTTATTTACTATAAATCTAACATACATTATCATTTTTTAATGGCCTCAGGAAAAAAAATATTATCATGCATATTTAAAATATGAATAACATGTGTCCATGATAAGAAAACATAAGCCAACTTGTTTTATTTCCTCACAGATTACTTCAAAACTTGTTATTTCGTGCACATTCAAATTATAAGAGTAAAATATCCCTCTATTTTACCATAATTGCTTATACTTCGCTTCAATTTTTTAAAATTCATGTGAATATTCCTTAGAATTAATATTTATTGTATTTTACTCAAAATATAAAGAATAATTTATTATTTTATGTAATTTTATCCCCACATATTTATATGTTAGATTTCTAAAAAAATCCAGTCAGTTAAATACTTAATTTTTAGCTTTTACTTTTCATTTAAATTAATTTTTTTTATTTCATAGCATATCCAATATTTTTCATTTTTACTATACAAGTCTTATATCCACAATCACTTTTTAGTATGGATCGTATTCCTATTATTTTTATTATAAATCTCATGTGATTTTTTCAAACTTTAAAATTTTATATTTTTAAAATTAAATTTTTAATCTTATTACAAATTTTATATTTACCATTTTCATTGAGTCTCATCTCTATTATATTTCTTTTACCATCGGCCCCTGAAAATCTTCCTATTAATTGAATTAATAGTCAACCTTAACTTACAGTGGCATCAATTAATAAACACTCCTTGAAGCTTAGATTGCTTAAATGTATGTTCCACCAAAATAGATATATTTAAGTTATTTTAGTGACACAATTATGGATAATGGTGCTACTCATAAAGATTTATTATTCTTTGACTTAGTTAAAATTATCAAAATGATTTTGAATCTTAAGGTAATATATGAGATTGAACATGCTGGATTATATGATGATTGAATCCTATAAAAATTTAAGAATTGTATGTAATGTAATTGATAAATGAATTACCTATTTAAATAAATTAATTTTAAGTGTCATGCCAAGGTGAATATAATTTTACACAAAATATGAATCTTAGCCCACTGGTGATAATTTTGAGGGTTGTTGGGACAAAATATAAATAATAATTTATTATTTTATGAATTTTTATTCCCACATAATTAAAATTAAATTTCCAAAAAAATCCGGTCAGTTAAATACATTTTTTACCTTTCATTTAAATTAAGTTTGTAATTTCATTGCATATTCAGCACCTATTAGTTTTATTGCAAGTCTTATGTCCGCTATCATTTTTTAATATAGATCGTATGCCTATTATTTCTATTATAAATCCACCATCATGTCATTTAAATTAAACTTGTAATTTCATTGCATATATGATTTTTCAAAATATAATAATTTTAATTTTTTATAATTTTTAAAATTAAATTTGTAATTTGATAACAAATTTTATTTTTATTATTTTTTTTTGGTGAAATCATATTTATCATTTTTATTGAATCTTATCTTTATATATACTTTTACTAAGGGTCCCGCACCTCTTTCTTTTAATAATGTGGGCCTCACATTATCATTTAAAACTTAAAAAAATTAAAATAAATGATGTGCTTTACAATATAGTAAGAAAGATAATATAAAAAGTAAGATTAATTAAATATCATTTAACTAAAAGTGTTTTAGGAGCATTAATTTTTTCATTTGTCGCTTACCTCACCTATCACGTAACGTAACTATCATTTTCCCTATTTTAAATGCGTATAGCGAATTAACGGCTCTCTCTCTCTCTCTCTCTCTCTCTCTCTCTCTCTAAGGGAAATTAACGAGTCTAATATCGCAACCAATAACATTACAAAGTATTGACATTAACATTATCCACATGGTAGGCATAGCGTCTTGCGAGTTCCATCTGTGAGCAATGGCGCTTCTTAACGTCTCCATGTGTTCCAAATTCTCTGCAAAGCCTCTCCTCTTGCGTCCTCATCCCTCCATTTCCGCCTCTCGTTCGCCTCTGGTTGGTAATCTACGCAACCCCATCTTTCTCAGTCCGTTTCGCTCTTCAAAAATCCAATAATTGTTACACTTCGCTCCGTTCAGTGATCTGGGTTTCCTTGTCAGGCACTTCCACTGAAGCGACAACCCGAAGCTTCTCAAAAACTTGCACTCTCATTGACAGAATCTGTGTCTACGGCAAGCTTGGTTGCTCTCTTTTCTGTTTCGTTATTCTTCGCTGATCCCGCACTCGCCTTCAAGGTATTCGATTTAATCCCAAAATGTTGCTGTTGATAGTGAGAATTTGAACCCCTGCAGAATTAGCAACAGTTTTGTGGTTTCAGCTGCTATAGTAATTTACTTCTTTGGGAATTGTTGTTTGGTCGATGGATAATGCCAATAATGACTTGAAAGTGCAGGGTGGAGGACCATATGGGCAAGAGGTGACAAGGGGACAAGACCTTACTGGGAAGGATTTCAGTGGCAAGACTCTGATCAAGCAAGATTTCAAAACGGTGTATTTTTTTTTTTTTTAAATTAGTGTCAATCTGATAGGACTGTATATTGAAGGCTAATAACTCACCTATTTTCTGTTACAGTCTATATTGCGACAAGCCAATTTTAAAGGTGCGAAGTTGTTAGGTGCTAGCTTCTTTGATGCTGATTTAACGGGTATGATTGAAAACAGATACCGCTTATTGAGTCAATTACCTATAGATATATGGCTAAGTTTGGATTTATGTGGTGTTTTAATTTGGTATTCGATGCTTATCTGTGTCTGTGAAGTAACTGTTCATGCTTTTGGGAGGCTACATTTGGGAATTGAAATTCTCAGTACTAAGAAACTACTTATGATAAATAAAACATCCCTTTAACTATGAAGTTATTTACTCCCTTCTGTCCTTTTTTAAGACCCTATCAACAACTTTCATTAGACTAAGAAAATTAGTTCAAAGTAGTTAAATGTCAAAAATTTTAACAACTGTCCAAAACAACCCCTTTTGATTGGCATAGTTAATTGAAGGGAGAGGGATGGGAGGATGGAAAAGCCAAGAGTGAAAGAGATAAGGATAATTTTGAAAATGTCTCGTGAATGTTTCATTAAATTTTGGAAGAAAGTGTTGTATTAAGGACCAATAAGTAGGGTCTTGTATATAGGATCAAAGGGAGTATGTTTTTAAATTTCGTATGAAAAACAGCAAGTGGCTAAGTGATAACATAAACCTTGAGAATGTCCAATGAAACATGCTAGAATATAATAAGAAAAACTGATTTTGGGTCTAAGCAAGTGAAGTAAACTGGATGTACCCATAAATGAGAGGACTTTCTATTGCACCTCAATTTTTAGACTACCATGCAGTCTCTCTTTAGATTTAGCTTTTCATGCATATGCTTGCAATTAATAAATGTGCTTCCTACTACTGCTCCCACATGTTGTCAGGTGCCGATCTTTCAGATGCTGATCTTAGAGGTGCTGACTTCTCTCTTGCAAATGTGACAAAGGTAAACTTTTGCTGTGTTGATATGGTGGTACTGTGTGTCATTAAAATTATTGTTACATCTAACTGTTTTGATATATGTGCTGAAGGACTAAATATGCATTGTCTTAGGATCTAATGGACAATAATTTAGAAAACATTTGCATAAGGACTCAGTTTATTATTTATTCCCCTGCTATGCCCTCCCTCCATTCTGGTACCTTATGTTTTTTTTTTTTTTTTGGGTGCTTTCTATAATGCGCTGGACTATGAAAATTTGCATAATGAGTGCTGTTGTATAGGAGATACTTGATGATTACTGCATAATTCCCTTAACCATCCATCTGATTAACTGCTGTCTGTTCCATTATTTATGTTTCTATTATTTTAAGAACAAGTGCTGAACTGACTGATGAATATGAGATATGGCGATAGTGTGACAGATCATTCACATGATAATCTAGCTACAATTTAGAAGTACGGTAAATTGCAGAGATGATGTGAAGGGAAGGGCTGTAGATTATCAGGTGTTAACAGCTCAATTTCACAATATCTGGTGTCTTCTGAGTGCATCAATCTTCATGCAGGCAAATTTGAGCAATGCTAACTTGGAAGGTGCCCTTGCAACAGGAAACACGTCTTTCAAGGGGACAAATATAACTGGCGCTGGTATGCAGATGTACCGCTTATTATGTACTATTATTGTATTTGAGGGTGATATAATTTAAACGAAGAATTGATCTTTTATCATTCTAAGGTCAGATGCCTGTGTTGGTTGGTGGATTACTTGACAAATATTGACAGAAAGGAATGAAATGGAAAATAAAATGAAAGGTGATTTTGAAGATGGGAATTGGGAAATGACCCTCATGTTCCCACTTGTAAAAAGTACTAAAAAGAGAGAGAGAGAAAAGAAAAGAAAAGAATAGATATGCCATCGAGTGATAATTACAAGACATGATAAACGTAATACAGAGAAGGTAAAAAGAGAATCTCTTTTGACCCTTGTTGCCAAATGGGACATTAAGAGTAGACTAACAATTTGGTCTATGAATTATCAGGTTTATTCTGCTCTAATCCCTGAAATTAGTTAATGCATAAATAGGGACCAAATAGTTAAGTTTATTAGTTATTAATTTATCTGTCTTTTCCTGGCTGATTAATGAATGTACAACTGAGAGCTTGGATGCCAATAGACATAGACTGAGGTATAGGAGGTGGGGATCAGAGAAAGAAGAGAATAAAGATGACAAATGAACTTCACCAGAATGAATACTTTAGGTTTTTATTGATTTATCTACAAGATCAAAGGACAATTTTTAAATTGAAGCTAAATTACATTTCAGTATCTTTTGGCTTAGTCTGTTCGAACTCTCTGGATGGGCCGTGGTTTACACCATTAGCACATGCACATCAGTACCAATATTTTTCTATACTTTGCTGATTACTTTGTCACAAGGGTGAACTTTCAAATTGTAACAAGCTGAAGTTTTGAAATGGATCTGTGAGTTTGCTTTGATGGTAGGCAATTTCTACAGTTAGCTAACGATGGTCTGCTTGTTATAATATTCAGACTTCACAGATGTGCCATTAAGGGACGATCAAAGAGAATACCTGTGCAAAGTTGCAGATGGGTTAGATCATATTCATATCTTTTCACTCAGATTTTTCTGAATATGCTTCATAACTCACTCATTGAGTAACAAAGCTGTTTGTGTTGTATCAGGGTGAACCCAACTACTGGAAATTCGACGCGTGAAACATTGCTCTGCAATTAGGCATTCCATTTGCTTAGGATATCGTTATGTTGAATCAGAGGCCATTTATGGCTGAAGTTTTTGAATTATTGCCACAATTCTCTCTGCTTTATTCTAAGAAAAGGAAATGTCTTGTTTCATGTCAGGTGTCACACAGCACGCTTTGATTATTGTGTTTGTGATTTCTCGTTTATGAACCAATAAGTACTTATCCCCCTAGATTAGACATGAGAGATTATGAAAGTCAAAAGCAGTGAATTTGATGTCCCCAAGACAAATAGGAGTCCCATTATCAATTTATCAGAAAGATGGCAGTAGAATGTGTACTTCTTTATCCCAGTAGATATTTAGGAAACATCATTATAAGTAAGTTTAAAAAGCATATGTTGAGAATGGAGCCAGCCTGTAACACTGCAACAACCTCGGTGAAGCAGTAACAGTTTGTCGGCAAAAGGTGTTAGTGAAAGTTCTACTAGTTTTTTTTTTTTTTTTAATTAACGTACAAATTTATCTTCAAAGTTTCTAATCAAGCATACCATATATTCTAAAATATTTTTTAATAAAATTTTGCCTTGACATTTTTTATTTAGATACAATGTCGTCCTAATCTAACTGTTTGACTATGTTAATCATTAATCAGACCTTCAGTTGCCACCTTGTCATATGTCGAAAATTAAAAATAATAAAAAAACTAGATACACGTCAGATCTATGATTCCATCTTTTCACCCTTTCATTTCTCTTATACATCACCAGCAACATGATGCTTCATGCCTTCATTTCTCTTTGTACGTTGCCGGACGCCGATGGCCATGGCAATAGCGATTACATCAACAATATATGGGCAGAGGCAATCAAAAACCTAGATTGTAGATGAAGGACAATTTGTACAATAGGAGAGTTTAAACATATCAGTGAACCTCAGATTTCAATCAAAATCATTAAACAAGAATCAATAAATCCCAAATAAGGATAAGAGCGGTGGATGAGGAATTTAATTCTATTTACAGATTTGAAAAAAAAAAAACTAAAACCAAAAATGTATCTAGAACAGTGGTCTGGAACAATGAAACCACCGCTCTCAACTTATTGAACCCAATGACCATGTTTAGATCTTCCCATTGAATTAAGCACAAAAATGATAAACCCATCATGCTCTCAACCCAGATCGAAGATCCGTAAACCCATCATGCAGAAGCCAAAATTTGACTTCGACTTCAGCTTCGGGAATGATGCATGTAACGTCCGGGAAAATCTTACCTCCAAATTAGTTAAGTAAATGAGAGAGATTAAATAAATTTATATGGTGTGTGGTTATATAGAATTATAAAATGTTTTGGGTTGTGAGTTCTAGGATTAAGTCTGAAGTAAAGCTAGACCATCCAAACATGAAAAAGTGAGAAAAATAAGAAGAAATGACTTTATACCACATGGCGTAATGTAATTTCTTTCTTATTAAACACAATTAATTACACAACTAAGATAATAATAGGTTAAGCCCATTTTTAGATTACTAAGTTTGAATTTTATAGAAATGGAATCCCGAATTTTTATTATAAATTGCTTAAACATCATCAATAAACTTCAAATCAGAGTAAAAAAATATTTTGAAAGTATGAGATACCTTAAAGGAGTGAAAAAAATTCAAAAATAGTTGAAAAATAACGAGACATGAAAAACAAGACAGTGCATCGTGGCTGCCCCTTTTTAGACAACAATTTTACTGCCATTTAATAGCAAACTTAGGCAACTTTTGACGTGCCTCATTTCTCTATACGACGTCTGAATGAGATGATCTAGGTGTCTATAAAAAACTCTTTTCATAAACTAGCTAATGGCTGAGTTTTACTTTCAAAGTATGCAACACAAGAAATATAAACACCTAAACACATTTTCACAATTTTTTTACACTTTTCACAACTCAAGAATGTCCAAAAACCCACACATGTGCCAAAAGTAATTTCTAACATCCAAAATACACTCAAAGAACTTAAAATTATTTGTACAACAAACCACATGCACATAATTCCAATCATAATAAATTTTTACTTCCCAACCCTTATAATATCAAAAAAAGGTAAGGGGGAGGTTTTGACATTGTATTTTACAATCAACATATACAATGATGATCAAATCAATAACTTTACACTTGCACTAGTATTTTAACCCTATTAATACTTTAACAACTTACATATAACATTTTAGGCCATAAAATATATTCCAAAAATTATAAACCTAAATGAGTGCAAGTATAAGCAAAATATACCATAATTGGAAATAAACTTATCCATTACATAAGATAAATGAAGTAAGGAGGCATTACAATATGAACACTCAAATTCTTAAGCCTCCGGAGCCTTTTCTCTTTCCATACTGGAGTTGGAGCCTGTAAAATATTGAAAGAGAGGGATGAGTCTAGCCACTTAGTAACTAAGGTACATCTATCCTATGCAGTTGTATATCAATTGATTTAAATATGTAAAATAGAGTTAATCACTCAAGATATGAGATTATACATAATACAAGTTGTAATTTTACAATAAACTCATTTTCATGTTTTCTCATTTCAAAACACAGAGTACATTGCTACAATACACTTAAGCATATGATAATTACCCATTTTACTAGCTCAGTGCATATTGTCATAACGCAGACGATCATGTGACAATGTCACATTTACTATTACGACTTGCCATAAACTTAAGTCAAATAACATGCATATATATATGATTGATTCCTCCTTATCACCTTCTTATTTTCTCTTATTGAAACTGTGGGCTATAATATCAATCAGGGTTTCACCTGTGTGACTAGACTATCCAAGCTCATAAATTGTGAGGTGTGACTTGGCTAAAGATCACAATACTCACTCTCAGACCACGACTCTCCCTACTCTCAAATCTTTGAGGTATCTTATACCCTAAGCTAATCTCCTTGATAAACAGGTGGAAATAGCTAGATTCTTGTCCCTGATAAACTATAAGACAATTGCTCGACAAACATTGGGATAAGGCTAGGCTTTCGTGTATTAAAAGACAGCCATAAGTATCATATGGATTTTAACTACTGTTCTCCTTAGGTGAACTCTCACTAAATGATCATGCAATGTACGATGCTCACTGTAACAGCCCTCCTCAGGATCTCACCGTCACCCGAGGCGCTGGACACTCTCCCCCCAGGCCCCACAACAGGGCGACCCCACCCCTTACGGTGAGCATCAGGAGACAAAGGCTTTCCCACAGTAGTATGCAGGATTATTCCCCTTGCAGAGAGCCTCCCCAGGTTCGATCCTCCAACCTCTCCTACATAACAAAGTTGAGGCTGAACCTGGTACCAATGAGTCAACTCTGATACCAAAATTGTAACACACCAAATTTTTTTTTAAATAATTTAACTCAACCATAGTTGGGTTACAGCCATCCAACACATTTTTATATCAATAATTTCAATATAAAATATTTTATAATTGGCTCCAACTCACACACTATAACATTTCAGATAAATTTTTACCTCCCACATGCCATTAGGATAAATCACATTTGTCCATCCTTATACTCCCAACAAGTAAACTAAATCACATTTGTCCATCCTTATACTCCCAACAAGTAAAATAAGCAATTTAGTCAATTTTCAACACAAGCCAGTTATTTGACTTTATAATCATGCCATTTTAATCAATCCAAAATAAACCTAATATTAAAATTACAGTCATCCAAATTGTACCAAAAATAGAAATAGTTTGAAAGGCATGATTACATTTATATATTCATATAATTGACAATAAACAAAAAGCCCTAATATTGGCAATATAACACATTATAAATCATAAATTAAATACCCAAAAGAGACAGTGAATCTATACCACTAAGCCTCTGGGACTCCTCCATGTGTCACTCGTGGCTCTTCTCCTGAAAATTGTTAACCACATAATGAGACTCAAAAGTTCCAGCAACCAAAGCCAATTTATGATAGTGTATACAAACAGTTAAGTGTGTGCTTACTAAGTGAGAATTAAAAATAATATAATTCCAACAAATATAAGAAATATTACAATAAACACAAACAACCATCCTTATATCCCTCCATTAACCTCGAGCCGTAGCCCTCACTCGGTGCTAAATTACCCGGCCAAAGGTAGATTAGCCTGAGTCCTTACAAACCACCTATTGAGCTCCAATAGGAGCGTACCACGTGGCACATAAATACAACAACAATAACAAGTCTCCCAACACTTCCCACAATAATCAAATAAATTCATGATAATATTGCACAATTATATAATATTACAAAATTTATAATTTTCTCAATAATCACCCAATTAACATGAAGTAACACAAATTACAAATTAAAAGCATAGTTACCTTGTGGCTTTTTTAATAAATTATTCCTTAAAATTTCTCTCTCACCACAATCTTCACCAGTAATACAATTTACAAATAACATATTATTTATAAATATTAGTTTCAATTTTTGAAACTAATAAAATAATTCTAATAATAGAATTAAAAATATAGCATAATTTCTAATCTCAATCTTAATACAAATCTAGAGTTAATACTATTAAGTAAAATTTTTAACTCCTCTTTTAATTATCAATAATAATCTAAAAATCAACTTCTAAACTAATTTCTATTATTAAAATTTTTTTTATTTCATAAATTCGTACATAAAATACCTAAAAATTAAAAATTGAGTCTCTAGCTTAGAATCATAATTTTATAGCCATAATAATTCATTTCTCATCCCAAATAATCATCTAAACCTTAATAAATCAACATATATTTTCAGATCTAATTTAGAATTTGATCCATAAGCCACAGATTCAAAGATCATCAATAAATTTATACTCTAGAACATTTATTATACTATTGACAACCTCAAAAATCATATTTATTCAACATAAATTTATCCCTCTTCCAGATCTTAAATTTTCTACCACTACAAACTCAGAAACCAAAGAAGAAGGATGACTAAGAAAAAATTTTAGAACACTTACTTAGTCTTGAAAAACTTAAAATCACACCCTAAATATCCTATTAAAAACTCTTACCTTAAAACCCAGCACCGGTGAACTTGGCTCACAGATGCTCTCTCTGCCCTTTTTTTAAATATTATTATAATATACAATGATTGCACCGAAA